ATCCCTTCCCTGTCACAAGTTTTTCCAACTTTTAGGTCCAATATAGGAGAATAGTTAAATGACAATGTATAATAATGAAAAAATACTTAAACATTGCAAAAGTGACAAAAAGCAAAATATATAATTTTACATATAGAATAATTACAACTATGATAAAAACATTGAAAAATAGCACCACCTAAGGAAAAAAATACACAAAAACGTTAACAGTGATTGGGTTAAAATGCTGTTACTATTATAATTTATTATTTCTATCTTATTTTCTAAATTCTTTTTAATACCTTTTTTTAAGTCAGAGTCTTTCTCTGTCGCCCCAGGTAGAATGCAGTGGCATCATCATAGCTCGCTGTAACCTTAAACTCCTGGCCTTAAGCAATCCTCCTGCCTCAGCCTCCTGAGTAGCTAGAACTACAGGTGCACACCACCATGACCAGCTAATTTTTTCTATTTTTGGTAGAGACGGGGTCTTGCTCTTGCTCAGGCTGGTCTCGACCCCCTAATCTCAAGAATCCTCCCACCTCAGCTTCCCAGAGTCCTAGGATTATAGGTGTGAGCCACCGTGCCACCCTGACGTGCCAAAAACACATAAATCCAATAACAAAAACACTAAACTAAAAAAACAAAATAAATCTAGGCACTTACAGCAGAATCAGTGGGCAGGTCTGTGTCCCATTTTCGTCCTTTGAAGTCTCCACCTCTGTTCCATCGAAATGAGCTCATACAACCTCCCTGAGAAAGTTCTGTGGCAATAAAGGTGAAATTTTAAAAAGCTAAGAATATGCAAAAAAGAAATGGCTACGTGATTACAGTAAGGGAAACACATCTTAAAAACCTGATCAAAACACCTAAACCTAAAGAATTCAAGATATAAAAGTACAAGTTAAACAGCACGAAGAGAGAAATGAAATAAACCCAAAATGTGGGGTAAGACTACTATTCTGGATTCTTAAAAAGTCACTGGACAATTAAGAAATTTGAATATGGACAGTATATTCAATGGTATTATAGAATTATTATTAATGTTTA